ACTGAATGATATCACAACAGTTCTGCCAATTCACATTCTTGTCATTTATTGATTCTCCATTCTCTTTTTCTTGAACCAAACATTGGAATGAACAACTGTTGCATTCCCAAAACATACAATCTTTGGGGTTTCAAACTAGAACACGAACGCATGTTTTTGAAATACACAGTTTGACAACATCTGAACTCAATATCTGAATTGCAACACATGAATCTGGTACCATACTTGATGATTGTACAGTGTATGACTACCAAATAAAGACAATCTCAGTTTACAACTATCGTTTGATTGTATCACATGATGAACATTGTATTTTAAAACATTGAAAATGCCAATCTGTAGTAGGGAAACGCACCAAATATGCAACATTGTATATTTTGAAGCAAAGCAGTCGCATATACACGTTCCGTTTTATATGAATACGACTGTGGGATCAAAAACACTTGACAGTCAGTTTGCTTACTCTATATCTTTGACTCACAGCTGATGATAAATGGTGTGAAAACGGACAAGTAAATCAAAAGTTGTTGGCACCATCGTTGCTGATGATGTTGTTTTTCCGTAAATATCGGTAGACTGCTGATTTGAATGGCGGAAATATGTATTGCTCGTGTTTTGTGTACCATGACAACGATCTGATGTGTTGACACAGCCAGTTTGTTGAACAATCTGCTACTTTTTTTAATCAAATATAAAACAACGTCCCTTGTTGATCCGACGGTAAGTGTTTGGTGAGCTTGGTGAACTCGTTGGACTCGCCGAGCCTGTGTCGACACAATTTTGAGTAATCCACATACAGGGTCAGCATGTCAATCTAAAACAATCATATAGTTTTACAAATGGAAAATCCATGTTGATATGATGCAACATCAGTCTGTTTGATGTTATCACAATGTTATCACAATTTATTGCAGTGTTATTGCAGTGTTGTCAAAACACGATGGAATTGGGTTGCTGGAGTATAAATACATATTTTTTACAATCTCATTTGTTTTTAGCTGTAATTCAAATGATAATATCAACCCATAGTTGACATATTTCAAGCACATATGTTGATTGTATTTGACAGCATTTGACATGGTTCAAAGTCGGTTCAGATGAATGTGTATGCATGTTTTGTCGTGAGTTTGGCAGATCAGACATTTCATATCATCAGACCACTATCCAGTTTGCTGTTAGTTTGCACAACCATGGATCATGATCAAACTGCAATACTCACTAAAGTTGTTTCCAATTGTGAAACGATTGGTAACCACAGTTTGGCTATCTGATGCAATCTGAAATGCACTGTACAAGTATACTGTATTGATTTTACTGTTCAAATCAATTCATTGGATATCAGTCTAAATGTCAAGCAATGATGTTTATAGTAGAATCATCACATTTGATTGTGGATTGTCATACCAAACAGATTGTTCATCAGTGTATCATTTTTACACCTGTTGTACCGAAGAGTCTGGATGAATGATTCAAAATACACGACTGATGATTTATTATGAGTTGGATATAGTAGGTCCAAATATGAGTGTTGACATCAAGATGTTTGTGTCGGCATCATAGTTTGGCATAGCAATATCAATGATTGAAAAGCTTTCATGAGCATGTATGAGCATGATCCCTTATTTTCACCATGTACTATTGATGTCGGTGAATCATCAAACACACACCCTTCAATGCAAGTCTGAGCCTGTGCACTGGATTATCACAGTAATCACAATATCTGTGGAAGGGAACGTTGTAGATAAAGGGGTTTCAAAGTACATCACAATGCGGTGTGCAAATGCTCCCTGCATGATTGACACACCAGCCCTGATATTATCCATTTTATAAACACTCAAAATATCGTTTATTCAACAAATATCCTTGATTACCAATAGCACAGCGTACTTATTTGACTGACTGCAAGTGTAGTAACCAATCGACTAGCATACACGTTCAATACACCAAACCCACAGATTACTTTTACCAATCAAATCCAACAATGAGGCTCACGGACATTTTACTCGCATTGACTTTGGTGGTCACTAGCAGCATGGCAGTAGTTCCACCTAGTAAAACTATTCAAACCCCTCAATCAAGCCAGAGTACTGAATGTCAACCGGGATCATCAAGTGGATGTCAGCCAGGGTCATCAAGTGAATGTCAGCCAGGACCATCAAACGAATGTCAGTCGAAAACCAGTAGTTCAAACAACGTATATGGATTAAATGATCGACTTCAGAAAAAATATAAAGATCTAAAAAAACGATTACAAGATGCCGAAAATATCAAGAAAACAAAGTGCGATAAACATCGTGAATATGAAAGTGACCTCCTATCGTATCAAGCCATTGGAAGGCCAGGGTTAGGCTCGTTTTTTGGCAGATTTATGCCAAGTTTCATTAAAAGCAGGTTTGGCAAAGTTCCGGATGGTATGGCATCGACCGAACTTGACCTTTATCTTCAGTGTACAGAGGCAGAACGTATATATAAAAGAATATCAGAATTGCTTGAAGAGTTCAAGGAAACTCATGGCATTGAATCTGAAACAAAGACAACAGGAGTTCTCCAATGGTTCAAAAACTAGTATATTCCACTCTACTCTGTTTGATTCAAATAAATTTAACCAATGCATCAATAGTTGTATGCAATTGCATTGTATTCATTCAAACATGGTCTGGTGGTGTTACATGACTTGTGGTGTAATCAGTCATATATTCAGTGACATTCACAACCAATCACAACCATTTGCAACCATTTCAATTCATGGTAACACTCCAATAATTGATTGTTGCTCCTTTCATCTGCACAGCAAGGTCTGAATTGAATATGATGTTGACAAAAAACTGTTCCGTCTTGGTTGTCACTGCATACTTTTCTGCAACCGTCTTGACTCCGGATACACCTTCTGTAGGCATATTAGTATACGGATCAACCGTATTCAAAAGTGATTCCACATTGTTATCCGCATCTGTGATATACAAGCTTAAAAAGTCGCCATACATTTGTGATTCAAGTGCGGCATCAATTTCAATAGTGATGTTGGATCCAACTGGTGCAGTATAGTATGATCGGATCTCAGTGACTATTGCAGGACTGTATTGTATTCCGTCACCAACAACCCATTTACCATTGACCGAGTTCCATCCCTGTGACTTTTTGGTAGATGGCGAGTTGTATATTCCAACCGATTTACTGGTACCATTAAACACCCATTTGACACCATGTTCAAGTTTAACACGATCTTGTTGTTGTGGAATGCGACTGATATGCTTATGTGTTTTGAGAACCTGTTTGCCGTTGTTTTGGCCAATGATACTGACCCGAGTATTACCAAGATCGTTGATTACAGATGCCAGTTTGAACGAGTGTTGACTTTTTATGTTGCTTTTAAACTTGGCAACTGAAAGTGATTTGCCAGTGTCATCAATAACTGACAGTTGATTGATTCCCTTGACTTGTACATCAATGGTTACGTCACTGCTAGTGGTGTTATAATCGATGGACTCGCAAACAAAGTAAAGATTGTTCAGTCCAGTTCTGACACCCAGTGTTTTGAGTTGATCGGCAATACGGTCAAATTGTGAATCTTCAGTGGATCCAGGCAATAAATCCGCCAAACGGGGTCGTACAATGTATTCGGTTACGGCACCAATATCTTCAAGCAGCTGACCTTGCTGTTTGCCGATTGCGTATTGCCTGTCGAACTCCGATTGAAAGAGCGTTGGTGTAACTCTGACCAGTTGTATTGTCAGTCAGTTCTTTAGCGTACGGCATTGGTTGAAAATCAGGTTTGAAGAGTTGTGGAATGCCATTGGAATGTGATTGAAATGTCATTGACAAACTCGGCATTACCGCTTGAAGTTTACAGAGACCAATCACAACAGCATTGGTGTTTATGAACATTACTGAAGAGTCTGGATGAATGGTTCAAAATACACGACTAATGATTTATTATGAGTTGGTTATAGTAGGTCCAAATATGAGTGTTGACATCAAGATGTTTGTGTCGGCATCACAATTCGGCATTGGCATTGGTAATGCAATCTATTGCAGTATCAATGGTCAAAAGGCTTTCATGAGCATGCATCAAGCATGATCCCTTATTTTCAGCATGTACAATTGATGTTGACGAATCATCAAACACACACCCTTGAATGCAAATCTAACCCTGTGTACTTGACTATCGCAGTTATCACAATATCTGTGGAAGGGAGCGCCGAAGATAAAGGGTTTTCAAAGTATATCACAATGCGGTGTGCAAATGATCCCTGTATGATTGACACACCGGCCCTGATATTATCTATTTTATAAACACTCAAAATATCGTTTATTCAACAAATATCCTTGATTACCAATAGCACAGCGTACTTATTTGACTGACTGCAAGTGTAGTAACCAATCGACTAGCATACACGTTCAATACACCAAACCCACAGATTACTTTTACCAATCAAATCCAACAATGAGGCTCACGGACATTTTACTCGCATTGACTTTGGTGATCACTAGCAGCATGGCAGTAGTCCCACCTAGTAAAACTATTCAAACCCCTCAATCAAGCCAGAGTTCTAGATGCCAACCGGGATCATCAAATGAATGCATATTTTTTGATCAAGTCAAGGCCGACTATGAAAAACTAAAGAAACAGGTGAAAGATGCCAAAAAAAGCAAGCACTTGTGGTGTAGTAGCTATGATAAACTCAAAAATGGAATTGCGTCGCATAAAGCCATTGGAAGGCCAGGTTTAACTTCGGGAGTAGCCAAACTTGTGCCAAATCCCATTAAAAGCAGGTTTGGTAAAGTTCCGGATGGAGTAGCAGATGTCGAATTTGAACTTTTAGATAGGTGTCTAAAAGCAAAAGGCATATACGATGAACTTTTAAAAAAACTTCAAAAGTTCAAGGAAACTCATGGTATTGGATTCATGGCCAAACTGCACAAGTTCAAAAAGCAATTCAAAAACTAGTATATTTCATTCGACTCTGTTTGATTCAAATAAATTTAATCAATGTGTCAATAGTTGTATGCAATCGCATTGTATTCATTCAAACATGGTCTGGTGGTGTTACATGATTTGTGGTGTAATCAATAATACATTCAGTCATATATTCAGTGACATTCACAATCATTCACAACCAATCACAATCATTTGCAATCATTTCAATTCATGCTAACACTCCAATGATTGATTGTTGCTCCTTTCATCTGCATAGCAAGGTCTGAATTGAATATGATGTTGACAAAAAACTGTTCCGTCTTGGTTGTCACTGCATACTTTTCTGCAACCGTCTTGACTCCGGATACACCTTCTGTAGGCATATTAGTATACGGATCAACCGTATTCAAAAGTGATTCCACATTGTTATCCGCATCTGTGATATACAAGCTTAAAAAGTCGCCATACATTTGCGATTCAAGTGCGGCATCAATTTCAATAGTGATGTTGGATCCAACTGGTGCAGTATAGTATGATCGGATCTCAGTGACTATTCCAGGACTGTATTGTATTCCGTCACCAACAACCCATTTACCATTGACCGAGTTCCATCCCTGTGACTTTTTGGTAGATGGCGAGTTGTATACTCCAACCGATTTACTGGTACCATTAAACACCCATTTGACACCATGTTCAAGTTTAACACGATCTTGTTGTTGTGGAATGCGACTGATATGCTTATGTGTTTTGAGAACCTGTTTGCCGTTGTTTTGGCCAATGATACTGACCCGAGTATTACCAAGATCGTTGATTACAGATGCCAGTTTGAACGAGTGTTGACTTTTTATGTTGCTTTTAAACTTGGCAACTGAAAGTGATTTGCCAGTGTCATCAATAACTGACAGTTGATTGATTCCCTTGACTTGTACATCAATGGTTACGTCACTGCTAGTGGTGTTATAATCGATGGACTCGCAAACAAAGTAAAGATTGTTCAGTCCAGTTCTGACACCCAGTGTTTTGAGTTGATCGGCAATACGGTCAAATTGTGAATCTTCAGTGGATCCAGGCAATAAATCCGTCAAACGGGGTCGTACAATATATTCAGTTACGGCACCAATATCTTCAAGCAGCTGACCTTGCTGTTTGCCGTTGCGTATTGCCTGCCGAACTCCGATTGAAAGAGCGTTGGTGTAACTCTGACCAGTTGTATTGTCAGTCAGTTCTTTAGCGTACGGCATTGGTTGAAAATCAGGTTTGAAGAGTTGTGGAATGCCATTGGAATGTGATTGAAATGTCATTGACAAACTCGGCATTACCGCATGAAGTTTACAGAGACCAATCACAACAGCATTGGTGTTTATGAACATTACTGAAGAGTCTGGATGAATGGTTCAAAATACACGACTGATGATTTATTATGAGTTGGATATAGTAGGTCCAAATATGAGTGTTGACATCAAGATGTTTGTGTCGGCATCACAATTCGGCATTGGTAATGCAATCTATTGCAGTATCAATGATTGAAAAGCTTGTATGAGCTTGCATGAGCATGTATGAGCGTGTATGAGTATGTATCAAGCACGATCCCTTATTTCAACATGGATAATTGATATCGGTGAATTATCAAGCACACCCTTCAATGCAAGTCTGAACTTGTGTACTTGACTATCGCAGTAATCACAATATCCGTCAAAGGAAACGCCGAAGATAAAGGCTTTATTCAGCGGATCTTTATGCTATACGATGCTCCCTGCATAATTTGATACACCAGCCCTGATATTATCCATTTTATAAACACTCAAAATATCGTTTATTCAACAAATATCCTTGATTACCAATAGCACAGCGTACTTATTTGACTGACTGCAAGTGTAGTAACCAATCGACTAGCATACACGTTCAATACACCAAACCCACAGATTACTTTTACCAATCAAATCCAACAATGAGGCTCACGGACATTTTACTCGCATTGACTTTGGTGATCACTAGCAGCATGGCAGTAGTCCCACCTAGTGAAACTATTCAAACCTCTCAATCAAGCCAGAGTACTGAATGTCAACCAGGATCATCAAACGAATGTCAGCCGACAGCAAGTAGTCCAAAGAAAAAATACGTAGTTCTTAGACAAACCGGAATCGAATATAAAGATTTAAAGGAACAGGTGAAAGATGCCAAGGAGGAAATGAATATATGGTGCAGTGACTATCATAAACTCAAAAATGAACTCAAGTTGTATCAAACCACTGGAAGATCAGGTTTGGGGTCGGGATTGGCCAAACCTGAGCCAGAATCTGTTAAACAGAAACATGGCAAAACTCCAAATGAAGTAACAGATGTCGAACTTGAATTTTTAGACAGGTGTCTAGAAGCAAAGGGCATATACAAAGAATTTTTACAAATGCTTAAAGAGTTCAAGAAAGCTCACGGCACTAAACTCACGGCAAAGATAGCAAAGGGTCTGCGATGGTTCAAAAGCTAGTATATTTCGCCCGACTTGAGCAAAAAGATTAACTATTGAATAGAGTAATTTACAACTGTATTTACATAAAACGGAACTTGCACTTTTCTTGCAATGATTGCTTTGGAATAAACAGTTGTTAAATATTCATTGTTTTTATGCTATAGATTGATTGCTTCAACATTTTTAGTATTTATTGCAAACAGTTTTGATACTGAACATGGTGTCCACGGTTTTAGATGCGGTATTCAACAATCAACACTAATAACCGTGTCGAATACCAACCAGGTTTCAATCCCAATACTGCAGCCCATCACTGGCCTCTAATATACAAACGCTTGGATTTATCTCATAAAAAACCAAGTAGCTATTGCATATTTGAATACGTATGGCATGCTTTGATTATATTATCTTGTACCTTGATATTTGATGTATTTTACGCGAATACTCGACACATGATTCACACTAATGGTTGCTGGAATTTCTCGTTTTATTTCATCTCTCCATTTTCATTCTCTTTATTGATAGCTGTAAGCTTTCTGATGACTACTGCACTAAAATTTTGCATTCAATGTTTCCAGTTTGAGCAAACCAGCTATTCCAGTAAGCTTATTTGATAAAAATATGACTTGACATGGATATAACCAATAGGTTTGAAATACCCATCTACTGATTTGCAGTCAATAGGTTGTATAACATTGATTTAAATTTATACAGCTTCTATTAGCTGCAAAAATTATAAAAATTCTCAGGATCATGCCAATACCATTGAGATTGGATTGCCTATTCACCAGACATGCTTTAATCAAACATCAATTTCAACAAAGAATACTCGAGAAAGTGCTTTAGAAATAGGCCAAAGTTTTGAAGCAAAAAATACTTGCAATTTCAAAAGCTGTCTCGAGACCAATTGTTACAATCAAGACGTTTGCCACAGTCAAAACTTGAAGACAGCACAAAAAAATACCATTCGGTCGTTTGACAGAGTAAAGGCATCGTTGATACAGCTCATATTTGGAATGTGTATGCAATACAAAAATCAATCCAATGACAGTCCAGCTGATGAATCTACGCCGCTCATCTCTACCACTAATGCTGACTTGCATTCAATTGATATTGACGATTTAAGCGTGTCGGTTCAAAATGCACAAATCGCCGAACAGGATAGGTAATCTATTTGGATTGTTGCATTGAGATTTAATCCATCTTGTATTGACTTGGCATTATTAGACATACCATTTGGAATATTATTTTAGAGAATAGGGTTACAACAACAATCCAACGCATATATCTCGTAGGCATTTCAATTTTATCGCTAATAATATCTTCAATTTGGTTGATATCAACTGATTGCTATACTGTGCTGAAACTTGAATCTCCAAGAATATTTTATGATGAATAAATGCAATCCAATATGATCACTAATTTGATGCGTGTATAATCATTGTGATTGCTAGGACGAAGCTGCGTATTTATTTCAATTTAAAAGGACGTATTGATGCAAGGCAGATGATGCTATCCATTCACTTGATCAGGTCTGAACCTTGACAGCCAGACAAGAGTTTTATATGATTTCAAAATGAGCGCTTGATTGTCATTTAGAATTTAATGCCAAGAAAGTGCGAGAATAAGCGATGTTGATTAGATTTGGCAGATATCAAAAGATGGTAACGAATGCGTCTTTTCTTCTATTCAACTAACCAGACAGCACTTGATATCATGAGCAAGACTCCAGAGGATGTGTTACAAACAATGGTTGAGCAAACAGCAAATTCATACTACAATTCTCCTTCAGATCTTGTTGTTTCTTTCATCCATGCAGCCATGACTGGACTAGGGTTCGACTTGATTGGGAATACTGGTGACCAGGCTAGCTTGTCCAAAGAGTCTACAGCAGACAAGAACAAACTGCCATTCGACTGGAATGCGTCTACTGATGCTTATTCATTGTCTTACTTGTTTTCAAAGACCTTGACTACATACCTTGTCAAGGCAGTTAAAATGGGAAACAAACTCATTGTCCATGGCATGAACTTGCAGGTAAGTAGTGTTTGTTATAGTCCATGTATTCATATGCTAATAAGAATGCTTTTATAGGACGAATCTGTACATGATTTTACAGTAGGAATCAATACAGTTGTCGCTTCATCTGCTGTCTTTCCATTCAAGGTTGCTACTGCAGATCCGCAGACATTGGCCACACCCTGGGAATCTACTCGACTGTCATTGTTGTTTGTCTCGCGAGAAAGAGCTGAGCAACTTCTCCATGATTTCAAGTCTAGTATGATTGATGCTCTGCTAAAAGAACAGGCACACACTAGATCTGGGCAATCTTATAAAGCCATCGATCCTATGTTGGTAACTGCTCATGATAGTATCATTCGTGATCATCGTCCACCATTATCTATCCGACCAGATACCGAAACCAAATCTGGCACAATCGAGACTGAGTTTAACTCACATATTCCCAACCGATTTGGTGTTGGAGATGTTGATCTTGACCCATTGGCTGCTGCACCAGGCATGATGAATCCAATTCATGGGTTTCCCAAAGGATTCGGTAGTGGACCAATGCATCCTGGAGGTGGCATGATTGTGGGTCCTGATCATCCCATGTTCAATAACCCAGTCAATCCCTTGTACTCTGCAGGTGGTCCACCTGGATTTCCACCTGGTGCTGTTCCTCCAGGTGCTAGATTCGATCCAGTCGGTCCATTTGGGCAGCGGCCAAATAGATATGGAGGATTTCCCAATAGACAGCCTGGTCAGTTTAGTGGTGATCCTGATAATGACGATCTACTGCCTCCAGGACACTACGATATGTACATGTAATGCTCTTTTACCAACTCGTCTAAACATTGCATTATTGCCATGTTCATATAAATGGAGCAATAATAACAGTGTCAAAATGTATAATAAACAATCATGGAATGATTGATGTCAATTCTCATCACATTTATTGGCCAGTATTGTCCTCGAAACATTTCGACAATTTACTAGTCTTTCTCTATGTTCATTTTTGTATACAACTGAATGATATTCACAGCAGTTTCTGCCAATTTCACATTCTTGTCATTTATTGATTCTCCATTCTCTTTTTCTTGAGCCAAACATTGGAATGAACAACTGTTGCATTCCCAAAACATACAATCTTTGGGGTTTCAAACTAGAACACGAACGCATGTTTTTGAAATACACAGTTTGACAACATCTGAACTCAATATCTGAATTGCAACACATGAATCTGGTACCATACTTGATGATTGTACAGTGTATGACTACCAAATAAAGACAATCTCAGTTTACAACTATCGTTTGATTGTATCACATGATGACATTGTATTTTAAAACATCGAAAATGCCAATCTGTAGTAGGGAAACGCACCAAATATGCAACATTGTATATTTTGAAGCAAAGCAGTCGCATATACACGTTCCGTTTTATATGAATACGACTGTGGGATCAAAAACGCTTGAGTCAGTTTGCTTACTCTATATCTTTGACTCACAGCTGATGATAAATGGTGTGAAAACGGACAAGTAAATCAAAAGTTGTTGGCACCATCGTTGCTGATGATGTTGTTTTTCCGTAAATATCGGTAGACTGCTGATTTGAATGGCGGAAATATGTATTGCTCGTGTTTTGTGTACCATGACAACGATCTGATGTGTTGACACAGCCAGTTTGTTGAACAATCTGCTACTTTTTTAATCAAATATACAACAACGTCCCTTGTTGATCCGACGGTAAGTGTTTGCTGAGCTTGGTGAACTCGTTGGACTCGCCGAGCCTGTGTCGACACAATTTTGAGTAATCCACATACAGGGTCAGCATGTCAATCTAAAACAATCATATAGTTTTACAAATGGAAAATCCATGTTGATATGATGCAACATCAGTCTGTTTGATGTTATCACAATGTTATCACAATTTATTGCAGTGTTATTGCAGTGTTGTCAAAACACGATGGAATTGGGTTGCTGGAGTATAAATACATATTTTTTACAATCTCATTTGTTTTTAGCTGTAATTCAAATGATAATATCAACCCATAGTTGACATATTTCAAGCACATATGTTGATTGTATTTGACAGCATTTGACATGGTTCAAAGTCGGTTCAGATGAATGTGTATGCATGTTTTGTCGTGAGTTTGGCAGATCAGACATTTCATATCATCAGACCACTATCCAGTTTGCTGTTAGTTTGCACAACCATGGATCATGATCAAACTGCAATACTCACTAAAGTTGTTTCCAATTGTGAAACGATTGGTAACCACAGTTTGGCTATCTGATACAATCTGAAATGCACTGTACAAATATACTGTATTGATTTTGCTGTTCAAATCAATTCATTGGATATCAGTCTAAATGTCAAGTAATGATGTTTATAGTAGAATCATCACATTTGATTGTGGATTGTCATACCAAACAGATTGTTCATCAGTGTATCATTTTTACACCTGTTGTACCGAAGAGTCTGGATGAATGGTTCAAAATACACGACTGATGATTTATTATGAGTTGGATATAGTAGGTCCAAATATGAGTGTTGACATCAAGATGTCTGTGTCGGCATCACAATTCAGCATTAGCATAGCAATATCAATGGTCAAAAGGCTTGTACGAGCATGTATCGAGTATGATCCCTTATTTCAGCATGTACAATTGATATCGGTGAATTACGAACACACACCCTTGAATGCAAGTCTGAGCCTGTGCACTGGATTATCACAGTAATCACAATATCCGTTAAAGGAAACGTTGGAAATGAAGGGTTTTGTTCAGCAAGCCTCTGTGCTGTACAATGATCCCTGCATGATTGACACACCAGCCCTGATATTATCTATTTTATAAACACTCAAAATATCGTTTATCCAACAAATATCCTTGATTACCAATAGTACAGCGTACTTATTTGACTGACTGCAAGTGTAGTAACCAATCGACTAGCATACACGTTCAATACACCAAACCCACAGATTACTTTTACCAATCAAATCCAACAATGAGGCTCACGGACATTTTACTCGCATTGACTTTGGTGGTCACTAGCAGCATGGCAGTAGTCCCACCTGGTAAAAATGTTCAAACCCCCCAATCAAACCAGAATCCTGCATGCCGACCAGGACCATCAAATGGATGCCAGCCAGGACCATCAAGAGGATATCTGTCGGCAACTCCTAATCCAGAAAATGAGCATGGACTGGCTGATGTATACGATGCTCATTATAAAAAGCTAAAAAAACAATTGAAAGATGCCGAGAAGGACATGAAGCGAAAGTGTACTACACATCTTGAACTCAAGAGTAAATCCAAGTCGAGTCAAACCAGTGGAAGATCAGGTTTAAGCTCGTTTTTTGGCAGATTTATACCAGATTCTGTTAAAAAATGGTTTGGTAGAACTCCGACTAGTGTGAAAAATACCGAATACGATTCTCAACAGTGTAAACGAGCAGAACGTATCTGCAAACAAATTCAAAGAAGAATTCAAAAGTTCGAAAAAATGTTTGGCATTGAATCTGAGACAAAGACAACAGGAGTTCTCCAATGGTTCAAAAACTAGTATATTCCACTCTACTCTGTTTGATTCAAATAAATTTAACCAATGCATCAATAGTTGTATGCAATTGCATTGTATTCATTCAAACATGGTCTGGTGGTGTTACATGACTTGTGGTGTAATCAATAATATATTCAGTGACATTCACAACCAATCACAACCATTTGCAATCATTTCAATTCATGGTAACACTCCAATAATTGATTGTTGCTCCTTTCATCTGCACAGCAAGGTCTGAATTGAATATGATGTTGACAAAAAACTGTTCCGTCTTGGTTGTCACTGCATACTTTTCTGCAACCGTCTTGACTCCGGATACACCTTCTGTAGGCATATTAGTATTCGGATCAACCGTATTCAAAAGTGATTCCACATTGTTATCCGCATCTGTGATATACAAGCTTAAAAAGTCGCCATACATTTGCGATTCAAGTGCGGCATCAATTTCAATAGTGATGTTGGATCCAACTGGTGCAGTATAGTATGATCGGATCTCAGTGACTATTCCAGGACTGTATTGTATTCCGTCACCAACAACCCATTTACCATTGACCGAGTTCCATCCCTGTGACTTTTTGGTAGATGGCGAGTTGTATACTCCAACCGATTTACTGGTACCATTAAACACCCATTTGACACCATGTTCAAGTTTAACACGATCTTGTTGTTGTGGAATGCGACTGATATGCTTATGTGTTTTGAGAACCTGTTTGCCGTTGTTTTGGCCAATGATACTGACCCGAGTATTACCAAGATCGTTGATTACAGATGCCAGTTTGAACGAGTGTTGACTTTTTATGTTGCTTTTAAACTTGGCAACTGAAAGTGATTTGCCAGTGTCATCAATAACTGACAGTTGATTGATTCCCTTGACTTGTACATCAATGGTTACGTCACTGCTAGTGGTGTTATAATCGATGGACTCGCAAACAAATTGAAGATTGTTCAGTCCAGTTCTGACACCCAGTGTTTTGAGTTGATCGGCAATACGGTCAAATTGTGAATCTTCAGTGGATCCAGGCAATAAATCCGCCAAACGGGGTCGTACAATGTATTCGGTTACGGCACCAATATCTTCAAGCAGCTGACCTTGCTGTTTGCCGTTGCGTATTGCCTGCCGAACTCCGATTGAAAGAGCGTTGGTGTAACTCTGACCAGTTGTATTGTCAGTCAGTTCTTTAGCGTACGGCATTGGTTGAAAATCGATGTGATTGAACAAAAGGAGATATGAGTCAAGCGAAAACGTGTCGGAACCACCACCTCCAGTTGTTCCATCTTCGCCAAAAACATGGCCAGTTTCGGACGACTGAATAGACGCTGAAAACAGATCGCATGCTGAGTAGCATATAGCATCAGTGAATATACCAACAGGCTTGAGATAAGCTTGACCATACATGTTTGCTCGATCAAACGGGGTATCAACATGATCCACAGAATACTTGCTACCAGGTGGAGTATTGTACCATGCTGGACCAGAATTGTCAAAAAAGTACGTGCCATTAACCAGTGTGTTGTATGTGACAGAGTTCATCAAGTATCTTATCAGCATCGGTTGAAAATCAGGTTTGAAGAGTTGTGGAATGGAATTGGCAAAATCACCACTACCACCTGAATTTGCACGAAGATCAAATATAACAGCATTGGTGTCTTTGAGTACAGTACTGAGAAGTTTATGGATTTCACGAACAGCCTCTGTATCTGCTGGTGCATCAGTTTTAAGATTTTTTGGTACAAAATCATCCAATCTAATAATACCAAGATTCTTGGATTCGGGTTTCCAGATTCCCCAACTGATGGTCGACACGCCGGCGTTTTGGTACTCAAAAGTATGGTTTTGTGATGGCTGTCCAAGTAAAATCCGATCAATTTTTTGCTTTCTATGATGGTACTCGGATATCATTGATGGAGTTCTGATTTCTTTCCAAGTCTTCAACCGACGTTTGACTCCGGTATCAGGTGCATCAGTGTCAATTATACTGTTCGTGTCGGCAGGCTGAGGTGTCCCAGGTAGAGTTTTTCCAGAGATTTTGGCATACAATTGACTAGTCATATTCCAGCATGATGGAATAAACCCAACCACCCATGGAGCTTCAATGTCGTACACTTTTCCAGTATCTTTTGATTTGAACCGATATTTGATCGTATCAGTTTCTGGCAAAAGAGTAAATGCACCAGAACGAGACGTCATGTAACTAAGAGCACCATGCTGACCACCATAATCATTGGCACCACTTGCTTTGTCCTGATTCAAGTTCCAATAGTCAACAAACGTCATACCATCAACAAGAAGTAACTCGTCGCCAAATTTGATCTGGTCATAGTTTTTTCCGTATAAAGCACGCAACTCTTTAACGTTGATGTGAGCTTCAAAAACGATGGTTGGTTTCTTGACCATATCCGCATCGCCCTCGATAAATTTGAAATAAAGACCAGTCGTGGCAAAAAAACAAGAATATGGTCCAGATGGCTCAAAATGAGTATGATAGTCACGCATGCGAATAAACGCACTCAAGAGTTCAGTCTGCATCTCAGTATCAGTAAGATTGGATGCATCCAGTTTTGCACGCAGTTTCTTGATGATCGGGAAGGGATCGGCACGCTCACCATAATTCTTGATTTTAGATTCATAGTTGAACCATGCTTTCAAACCATTTTCAACATTGGTCAGCACGACGTTTCGTTGTTCGTCAGTGTATGGCATAAAAACAAATCTGCCAGCGTCACGGTGTTCTTTGATAAAGGCCCATGTAGGCATGGATTCTATAATGTATGCCAATTAGTAAGTTTTGAACGATTGCACAATCCAAACATTGACAAACCCAACATAAAATAGTCTGATCAACAGATTTGCATACCAGATTTATTCCCTTGAGCATTGACAACGAACGCAACAGAAGCAATGGCTAGCAGTGAAAATTTCATCGTGGCTGCAGTATACTATTGAAATGTATTTGGCAAGTGTATCAATACTATACGGATTGAGTTGTTGATTTGTAGCAGTCTGATGATGTTTGATAGTGGCTCACGACTCATTTTTATACCTTGATGGTCTTGACTGGCAATACTAATGCT